GTCAGTTAAAGGAAGCCTTTGATTAGATCTCTACTATGTTGTGGGCAGAAGATCAGGCATCAGATCAGATGGAGCCTGAAGAACTATGGAATCTTGCTTGTCTAGATTGGGAAAATCTACTTCTGTCATTTCTGGAAACCAGGTAGATAACCAAGTTCCAGGCTGAGCTGCCTTATGGGCTAACGTTTCAGTGCTCTGCAGCTCAGGGAAATATATAACGAGCTGGACCTAAGAGTTTGCTCTTCTGATTCCTAAGTAGCACAATTCTTATGAGAATCTATTCCAAGATTCTATAGGCAAACTAAACTGGGCCACTGTTCCACCCAACTGAGGAATTACATGCATCTGCCTCTTAAAAGTTATGTTTTCATTTAGGTCCTCAAGAAGGTCTAGCTTGTCCCTCTTGCACCCTGTCACCCCCAGCAAAAGCTTCTATATTCCCTGGGTAGCCCCGGGGATGACAGGGTCCTCTGTTCTGGAGACATTATTGCTATTGCTGCTAATTCCATGAGCTGTGAAGATACCCAACCAACTCAACTGCAAAATATGCAATTCTGTGGTGGGAAGAGGCTATCCGAGGATGGTGCTGAAATCACTGCCTTAAGGTCTCTGCTGTGCAGAATGAAAAGGACCCAGAGCTGGGTGTTCCAACTTAGAAGGAAGGGAAGACTGGACAGGCCTACTTTGGACATAGGTCTCTTCTGAACCCTACCCAAAGCTCCAGTACCATGGCAGGGCTCAGACTTTCGCTGACATCCTAATGCTTGAGCCCTTTACTCTCTTTTCTGGTGCTGCCCAGCCAGTGCCTTCTGACATGGATGTTACTGGCTACTCAAGAAGAAAGAAAGTGAAAAATGGAAGAAGAGTCTGTGCCTTCTTCCATTCCAACTGCCTCAGACCGCAGAGGGATTATCTCTGTGGTAACCATGGATACCAATCAAGAATTTTATTTGGGTCTGCAGCAAGTTGATACTGGAGGCCTCTCATCTATAACTTCATTTCTATTCCTGGGATACCCACCACCCTCTTCTCTCAGTTGACTGCTGCATTTAGTTCAGGCCTCAAAGAGCTGTCCTCCAGGAAGTACGTTCCCATCCGGTGAAGTGCTCTTGAAGCCTCCACTTTCCTTCTGGAGCCTGGGACCCTGTTTACAGTCGCACATCTGGGGCCCTCACGGTAGGATCAACCATCTCAAAAAGGGATCGTGGTTCTGTGGCAGTTGTGGAAGGTTGAGCCTCCTCATGGTGCTATAACCCCTCTGGATGCTCGTCTAGACTTCTCAGAAGCAAAAGGCCTGAGCTCCCCATCACTGCCCAAGAATTCATGGCAAAGAGCAAATCCACAGCATACTTTCCAACCTACATTTGCTTCTTGGTTGCAACCACTGGGACTCCTCAGAAAGGAAAAACTGGGTCCCACAGCTACATTCTCCATTTCCAGGCACCTTCAGGAGAACCCACCCTACCTAATTCTGGAATCTGTGCTATCCCTTTTCCTTCAGACCCCGATTCCACCCCTCACCAAAGTTGGCTAGTGAAGAACATCAGCTTTTGGAGAGCCTCCACCCCAGGAGAGGCTCACCAGAGTCCCTCACATTCGGGATGAAGACCAATAAGTTGTGTTCAATATGTTTGTTTCTCAGTCCCTGCCTAGGCACTAAAATAAAATACTAGGTATTGGAGGCTGCTATGGGGCCTGATGTCTGTGTATCTCTCTGTCTCTCTGTTCTTCTCTCTCACACAGGAGCAGTTTGCTGTTTCTATCTTCTGGGGCTTTGTGGAACATTATTATTTTTGATACCTGTTTTCTAGTAACTTGTTGGTGCTTATTTCTGTCTCTGTAAATCCTTACTCTAGTGTCTTTTCATGTAGCCTAACCATTTGGAAGGGAGAGGCTGGCAGGGAAGGAGAATGGAGTTAAAGACCATGGAAACACCCTACAAGAAATGGTTGGTAAACATTTGGGTCTTGAATTACCAACCTTCTAATCTGTCCGAATTGATGGTCATAAGACAAAGTAATGATTTTTTTCTCCCCTTCTAATTTTTTTGTCTTGTGGCTTTTCTAGTTTGCAATAATTGACATGGATTTAATCTCCCCATCGTCCCCTTACTTGTAGCACTCACAGATGAGTCACACTATTGAGAGGATACTGCCCCTTCCAGGACTCTGAAGATGAATTGTTTCCTGTCATATTCCAGGAAAGTAGGGAAAGCAGTGGTAGGTTTTTACAACACCTCCCATCATCACTCCAGATGGAGCCCATTCCCAGCCCCTGCATGTGCATGGCTCACTCACCTGATCAAGTGAGACAAGGACCCAAAAGACATTAATGATGTTTTTAATGACAAAAGGGTTTTGGAGAGGACGTTGTGCTAATTGCAGATCTAATCCAGGGTTCAAGTGCTGAAGGAAGTCAAAAGATTGTCAATTACAGTTCCTTACCATTCTTTACCCTTTCTTCCTGTAGTCCTGGCGTTAGCTAAACTGAAGCTAGTAAGTGGACTCCGTGAACCAAAACCCCTGTGGTAAGAAGAAAAATGGCTATTGCTGCAGGTTGGATAATAGAGATGGATAAGATAACTTTTTTTCTTCCAGCATTGGGTATTGAATCCAGTGTTTCTCATATACTCGGCAAGTACTCCATCACTAAACTAAGTGTGTAGCCCTCATTTAAGATTTATTTATTATGTATACAATGTTCTTTTTGCATGTACACCTGCACACCAGAAGAGGGCACCAGATTTCATTATAGATGGTTGTGAGCCACCATGTGGTTGCTGGGAATTGAACTCAAGCCCTTTGGAAGAGCAGCCAGTGCTCTTAACCTCTGAGCCATCTCTCCAGCTCCCCCCTGCTTTTTTTGTTTTTTAAAGAAGGACATCGTTTCACTAAGTTGCCTGTAATGGTCCTGAATTCGCTAAATATTCCAGGCGAGCTTTGAATTTGATGATTCTACACAAACACACACATACACACTCTCTCACATAAGTAACTGGGATTTCAGGCTGCATCAGTAGGCTCTGTAAGAACTCATAAGAGTTCCCATCAAGGAGGCTATGAAAATAAGTAAGTAAATAGATACACAAATAAAATAAAGGGTTCCGAATGACCAAAGCCTGAAGACACTGCTCTTATAATGACTGGCCTTACCTATTCAGTCCTCAGCCTGCTCAGGGATAACAGGAGCACCAGCTTGGGCTCTTCCCACCATTGCCCAGGGAACACTGCTACATTCCAGCCCTGGAAGCTCATGCTGCTGCAGGGAAGATGGAGGAAACTGGATAGCAGCAGAGTCTTGAAAGAAAGAAAATCACTGAAAATTACACGCATTTATACTAGTTCATCCAGTCTGATGTCTTGGCCATTTTTCTTAATGATTATCTCACAGGGAATATTCTCAGGCATGTGATCGTGAAAGGCGAACGCTGGTTCCTTGATGCTACCTTTCATCAGTGGCACCAGGAGGATGTCTTTCAGACCAGCAACAGCAGCATGCAAGAATGTGTTAGGAATAAAATTCCCAGGCTCTGACCCAGATTTGCGAAGTCAAATCTGTAGAGGAAGTGCCTAGCAAATGTTGCAGCAGTTCCTCTAGTGAATCGAAAGCATAAGAGCCTTCACTTTGAGATGTTTAATGTCTGAAGACCCCCAGATGAAAAGTGTCTATGGTCTAATTCAAATGTTAACACCTCAAAGTCACTTTTCTCCTACCGAGGTTTCTGGGAGTTAACAGTAAAAATACGTGCTTTGGGGTAGAAGTGAGGAAGGCTCTGCATCTTCCCTGAGTGCAGCCTCCGGTGGAGAACTTCCTTCCTCTGCAGCGTCTCCCTGGCAAACTGTGGGGATTCAGTGGAGGAATCCTGTTGGAGGTCTCATCCAGACTGCTGTTCTTCTGATGGATTCTTTTTCTGGTAATAGAATAAGAAAAGTAAAATAAAATCTAGTTTGCATTTCTCTGATGGAATGTTCTCCCAGCACCAGCCCTCTCCCTTCTTTAAATGGTAACTGCTGAGTCTGAGAACCTAGCCAGACCCTCCTTCCCACAAGGCAGCCAACAGCTGTGGGGCTCCAGCATGCCAGAAAGGCCTATATCTCTGCTCAGCCCACAGAGTTCTACACAGTGAGAATAAAGTATCTAAGTCCTTAGATTCAAACTTGCCTTTTCCTGCACTAGGATCTAATACAGGACTACTGCACAAATGAAACAAAAATTCTCTTTAAAAATTTTTTTTTCCCCAGAAAGAGCTTCATAGATTTCCAAACTCACAAACCAGCTTATATGGCCATGGAAGTGTTGAGGGCTGTTTCGGAAGTGGTTTTATTTCAAATTTGTCAGTTTAAAGTGCCCCTATAAGAGCACTTTTGTGTAGAGCATTTAAAAATCACTAGTACTGGATGTCCTGAGCACAGGGACTAAGCACGGAAGGACTAAGGCCCAAGGAGAGCAAGTGTAAAACAATTGCACTAAAATCACCCCCTTCCCATCCAGCCAGCTCCTGGACCATCATCTCCCTCCCCGGGCATTTCTCTAAGGAAGATGTAAGGAGCCAAGTCCCACACTGCAGCCAGTTTCCGGTGCTGCTGTGCTGCGTCCCACCCCCACTTCCTAACGTTCTTTTGTTTATTGCTTTTAACCAAACAAAACTGTAAAAGAGTTCCAGGCCCTGCTTCCTTTCCTCCCCCTCCCCATCCTGTTTTACACATCGCTGCTCCAAAAAGGGTCTGTATTTCTTAAATGCATGGCATTGCTCAGGTGGAGGGTGGGCAAGAATGTTCACTTTTTAAAACTTACTGTGTAGAAAGGCCCAAACCAGGATATGTGTGTCACTGTGTGTTTGTCTGATTTTCCTCATTTGACCCTCACCTATTCTAGTCTGTCCCCTTTTATACCTAATGTAGAAAAGGCAAAACTGAATCTGGAAAGCAAATTGTTGTATATAGTTGCGGTAACAATCATGAAGAGAGCTGGGCTGTCCCCTCAGTAATTCATTTTAAATAAAAAAAAAAAAAAAAAAAGAAAGAAATTGGTTGAAAATTAAATCCATGCCTTGGCCAGCTGAAATGGCCTCCTCTATCGCTAGAGGCTACCCTTACCTGGGTCCTCTGTCCATCAGGCATGTCTCCATCCAGCAGAATTCATCTGTTCACTGCCATTTGCGTTTCAATAAAGTTATCTCCTGTATTGTCCACTGGTTTTCTAGCTCACTCTGCCTGGTTTCTGTGTCCATTTTTCTGATTGCTTGACCTGGAATGTCAGACAGCTTGTGGTTATTTGCCTAACTCAGAAAGCAAACCTCACCTGCTTGTGTCTGACCAAATGCTAAGCAGGAGTCTTTCCACTTCTGTTTTGCTGGCCACAAAGAGCCCTACCTTGAACACTGTGGACTCGGTTTCTGTCCTTTGTTTTTAGTTGCTACAATAAACAACCATATCCAAAAAGCAACTTGGGGGGGTGGGTTATTTTGTTTTACGGGTTATAGTCCATTGTAAAGGGACTCCAAGGTGGGAACTCTAGGAAGATGTTTGAAGCCAAAACCACTTAGTGGGTTGCTCCCTTTGGTCTTAGAAAGCCAAGGTCCACCTGCAGGGGACGGCACTAACCACAGTGGGCTGGGTCCAATTATGTCAATTAGCAATTACGAAATGGATCACAGACTTGTTCATAGGCCAATCTGATCCAGTTAATTCTTCAGTTGAGTCTTTCTCTTTCCAGGTGATTCCAGGTTTGTCTCAAGTTAGTAACTGAAGCTAACTACGAGTTTCCCTCACCAGAAATCAAGGCTTCCGGTGTGGGGGTCAGGAAGGCTCTTGAGTCCTCCCTTCACTGCAAAGTTTGAAGATGTGCCACCCTCTAGGTTGGTGGTTCTCAATCTGTGGGTCATGACCCCCTGGGCGGTGACCAACTCTTTCATATATCAGATATTACATGACAATTCATAACAGTAGCAAAATTACAGTTATGAAGTAGCAACAAAAGTAATATTATGGTTGGGAGTCTCTGCAAGATGAGATATTAAAGAGTCACAGCATTAGGAAAGTTGAGAGCCACTGCTCTAGACACTACCTAATTTTTCTTTTGGGGGAGAAGTGAACTTAGCTAGAAGGACAGCTGTTTTAGTGGAGTCCAGTTTCTTCTAGCCACTAAGACAGGAAATAAGCCTTACTATTGTCTACTAAGGAATTGCAGAATGAAGAGGCAGGCACACTCTCTCTGAAAGCATTGTGGTAACACAAGCCACCTTGGCCCTTGTAACATGGGAGGTGACAGATGGGTTTAGAGCACTCCTCAAGAATGTTCTTTAAAAAAAAAAAAAAAGAATTCAGACTAAGCAATTTAGTCTTCAGTCTAAATTGTTCAGTTATCATTTAGCAACTGCAGTCTTGGGCTGTTTGGGGAATTGCTAGCTGATTTCCCCCAAGATTTCTGAATAAAAGAAATGTTCCTAGAAAGTACTCACTTCTAAATCTTAAATCTTGGTAAATCTTTGCAGTTTACCAAGAAATACCTGCTCTGAGTTCCAAGAACATGTCACTCCATCCCTTCTGCAACTGTGTGCTTGCCACTTTGGCCTGTGTTTTTAACCCCTTGCTCTAATCATCTCTATTGGGTAGTGTCCCTATGCTGCAGCCATTTCCTTCGATTGGTCCTTGTTGGCCACATGAAACTACTCTTGTTCCCCTACCTCTCCAGCTGTAATTCCCTAGGGGGTAGAAGGAAGAATGCCTGACTAACTAGATGGCTCAGGGGATGGCACTTGCCACACCTAACATAAAGGGGGACCTCTACAGGTGTCCCAAGGTGTATGTCCATGCATGTGTGCATGACACCTACGCACATGCACACACATACACAGGAAAGACTTTTTAAAACTTATTCTTTGTAAATATCACATCATGCACCCCAGTCCTACTCATCTCCCATCTCATCTTCGTATCTGCCCTTGCAACCTTTCTGCAAAAAATAAAAAGTAAGATAAAATTAAAAAAAAAAAAAAAACAAACGAGCAAAGAAACCCAAACATCTTGTTGTGGAAGCTGTAGTGTGTCACAGTGTATCATACGGTACACCCTTTTGTCCACACCTGTACTTGTGAAACCTTCATTACAATGAGACATTGGTCTATTTTGAGGCTTCTGTTACACTATCTATATTGGATCCTTACAGGAATTCCTCTCAGATATCCTGTTGTTGCCCTGTGTCATGAAGGTCATTCAGCTTTGGATCTGCAGGACTGGCCCTTTCACAGGCTCCAGCAGATGGTAGATGAGGCAGATGCTGGGATGGGCCAACTCAAAGTCTGCATCTGGGCTAGGGAGGTAGCTGAGTTGGGCAGCCCACCAGGGTGAGCTCTCCAGCACTGCCCCTGATATCTCACCCAACGCCACTGCCAACGAGGGGTAGGGTCAGCCCTCCTTTCATGTCCTTGGGGATGGCTTGACCATGCCTTTGCCACTAGGGTCAGCTTTCCCTCCTGCCACAGGTGGGGAGGGAGAGGGGGAAAGAGAGCACTCTCCCTTGCCCATGCCACCCTACAGCAGACAAGGGGCGGGCCTTCTGTGCTCACTGTCTCAGGGCTAGTTCACCTACTCCTTTGCCATCAGGGCCAGCTCTACTGTTCTGCCCAGGACAGGGACAGGGCCAGTTCAGCATAGTGCCTCAGGTGGCACCAGGGACAGCTTCATGACCTTTGCCACTAACATGGCATCAGCAGACCCTTCTGCCATAGGACCACAGACCCAGACATGTTGAGCCTGGCAGCAGCATGGGTATGGATGTCTCAGATGGCAGCTCAAGCCACTCGAATCAGCATTTCCCTCCTTGGTAGTACGGCCCTCAGATAGCCACATGGTCTCTTGTAGTACTACAGACCACAGACATGGCCACCATGGCCTTTTAAGGTAACTTGGGCCACAAACATTGACAGACTGCAGCCTGACTACAAACCCAGGCATGACCCTTGGTGGCAGCCTGGGCCGGGCCCTCACCATGGCCGCATGTATCTGCCTATTCCTCTCCGACTTCAAATCGCAAGTTCCGCCTTTCTCCACAGTGTATAACCCCTTGGCTTTGCTTTCTCTTCCATCTCTCCAGCATGTACTCCATCTTTCCCTTCTTGCCATCATACATCCGTTCATCATAGTGGCACTACAGCAGGTCTTCGGGTGTCTTTCTTCTGGCCTCCCCCTACACTTTTTTTTTAAATAAATTAAGTAATGTTATAAATTTCCGGGATTCACTCTCAGCTGTCACATAATCAGTTTAGAGCCAAATTTGGTGTACCTGTAATCTCAGCACTTGGAGGAGGTAAGAACAGGAAGACCAAGGCAGGGAGTTCAAAGCCAGTAGCAGCTACATAGCAAGTTTAAGGCCAGCCTGGGCCATGTGTGACCCTGTCTCAAAACAAAATAACAACAGGTAAATATTTAAAAAAAATCATTCTAGAGAAATGCTCCTTTATGTATAGGAACTCTGCCCTGGACAGTCAGTTTCTCATTTTGAGATTGGGTTCATCTAAGATAAAAAGTTGGGGAACTGGATCTTTCTAAAGTGAGCACTCCCCACTGGCAATTTCACTTCAGTTTCTCCGCATGTCCCCTTTTCTCTGTCCTCTCACCCAGCTAAAACGTGAACGGGCCCAATTGTATCAATGTTATTTTTAGTTGGGATGAGGTTAGTTGGGAAGAGGGTGTTAGGTTAAAATAGGTGCTATTTCTGACCCCCTTCTTCAAAGCCCTCTACATCCATTTCCAGCCTACCTCTGCCCTAACATATCTTAGATCTGAGCCTAGAATCGTGTATCATGGCCTTTATTTCAAGTGCGTTTTCTAACAGCTCGTGCGACTTTAGGACTATAAACGGGATTCAGTGTTGAACTCACATCAGAGGCGTTCATTCCTTGTCGGCAAAAGCGCGGTTCGGTTCCAGCAGCAGAAGGCGCTGTCTCCGGAGGCTGCAGGCTATCCCCGCCCCCTCCCGCTCCCGCGTACTTAGATGCGCAGGCGCGGCTTCGCGGATTGGCCGTACGCGGGAGCCGTCATTCGGTGGCGGGTCTCGGCCGCGGGGCTGGCGGGCTGAGGGGAGGAAAGATGGCGGCAGCGGCGGCAGCTGGTACAGCTTCTGGACTACCGGGTCCAGTGGCACAGGGATTGAAGGAGGCGTTGGTGGATACCCTCACCGGGATCCTGTCCCCCGTGCAGGAGGTGCGGGCGGCTGCAGAGGAGCAGATTAAGGTGCTGGAGGTGACTGAGGGTGAGTGAGGAGGGACCGTCACGAGGATGGCTCTGACCAGGGCCGGCCGCACAGTCCGCTGACCGCAGGGATCTGGGGAGCCTGAGCCAGGTGGTGCGGTGGGCGCCAGGAGCGGATTAGGGAACGTGGGGCTTGGGGTGCCGCTGGTGCCTGTCCTAGAGGAAGGGAGGCGCGTTTGAAAGGAGAGGGTCGGGGGAGGTGGAGCCTAAGCGGAGATGGGGTGGGTGAGGACTTGAAAAGCTAGACCGTGGCTGGGTTCTGCAATGGGCAGAAATGGAGTTCGACGTGGTGCTGTCGGTGTCGCGCAGTCTGGAGGATATCTGAGCTCAAGACAAGGTCTTTTGCTGCTGTTTTTTTTTTGTTTGTTTGTTTGTTTTTGTTTTTTTTTTTCACCAGCTCGGTTGTAGTGGGATCAGGGAGGGGGACTTGCGAAGTGTGAGAGTTAAGGCCCTCGAGAAGGGGCTGCCATCAAACAAGTTTTCGCATCAGAGTTTTAAACCCGGCTGGTTGTTCAGACACCTCACGTTTTCCTAGAAATTAACTCTGTTAGATGCTTACACTGCTTCACCTTCCCGACCTGCTTTCCGTTTTTGTTTTGTTTTGTTTTTTAAGACTCATTGGCAGTTATTAAATACTGTGCATTTCTATGTACAGGAACCGATCTTTCTTTGTTTTCATTCTTTGTTCTCATCCTCCCGTTATGTTCTTTAAAGTGATAGAGAAGAAACTATTAGTTTGACGTTTTCATTTAATTTCCTGCATTAGTGGGCTTTCATCAGACCCATTTTACAAAGAACAGAAAAATTGGTAAAAATCTCCTTGGTTTTGTGTAAGAAATGTATCTGATCAGAATTTCAATGAAAGACCAGATGCTCGGAATCCCTAAGCTCAAGAGAATATTTTCACTACTCCTTAAACTTAGGCCTCTACAGAAATATGGAGATTGTTCCCATATTTGACCAACCACCCTCAAAGCCTTGGGTTAATGCTCCTACAGGACCTATTTTTATTGCAAGGGGGAGAAAATTTCCCTTTAATTTAGTTTTGTATTCACTTGTTGTATGAAGAACTATTGAAGGAAAGTTTCCTTCTGTTGGGATTGTTGGGATTCAGTATCTAATAGGTTAAGGACCATTTTGGAAGGCCAGTTGTAGTTTTATACCATACCTGACTGTCTTAATAGAGGGAACCATGGGTGGGAAAAAGCTGTTGGAAGGCATTGCATAACTTGACCTGCAGTTTTTAGGTAAAATTCCTTGGCTTAACATTTAATGTCTCTGCCACCCTTGGTATATTGATAGAAACCTTACTAAATTTAACTTCCTACTTGCATTTAGTTGCTGGTCTGACACAAACTGATTATCTTAATTAAACCTTTAACGAATGATACCCAGTGTTTGTGCTACCCTGAAATGTTTGTCTGACACCTTGCTGTGAAAGGTGGATTGTGCCTACACTGTACGGTAGCAGTAGTCTTGCGCTGATTGCTTCTTTAGCTCTAGCCAGATACTATGGCCTTATCTAGCCAAAATCAGTTATAAACTTCTTTTGAAGTTCTTGTCTCCTACTCTTGTGATCTTGAAATCAAAGTCTTGATCTAGTCCAGTGACGAAGAAATAGATAAGCTGCGCCTCAACTCTCCTTTTCCCATAACCTATTGATAATGTGCTGTGTGGCATAATGAGAGAGGCAAGGGCAGACTTTGATACAGTAACAGGAATGGTGGTCTGGTAGTGACAGCATACAGCTCACGTATAGAATGTGGTACAGAGTTGGATCAAGCCTGGAGTTGAATATACCATGTTGGACTCTTAGTGGCTTTAAAATAGTCTTGTCCCCTTCTGTTCCTATTTTTAGTTAGAGGATAGTGGTTTGTTCTTTACGTATCTTTTTCGTGAGTGGCCTTTAATCTTTTCAATCTTACATTCCACTGACTCTCTTAGATACTGCATAAGGTAAGCTAAGGGCTTCTTCTCTAGCTATGGCTCTTTACATGAAATGACAGCACCTGGTCTCTAGGAGTCCACAAGCTTCTTAGCCTTAGATTGTCAGGACAGTGTTCCTGTTATGAAAATAACGGACCTTTCTTGCAAATGAAGAAATGATTTTTTTTTTCACCCTTGGAATTGCTTTTTTAGTTCTGTCCGTCCCCCCCCCCCCCCCCCCCCCGAAAAACAAACCTTGCTTTCTGGTCATTTAAAACATCTTCCTTAAAATTTGAAGTTAATGAGAGTTGGTGTGTATTATTTTTGTGTTTTGGTAATTTTCTTTTTTGTTCCATAGAGCACAGGGTCAGGTAATTAGCAGATCTAGTCCCTCAGCCTCTTAAAAAGCTGCACTGTGAGCCATTTGCTGTTGCCTCACGTAGGATTCTGGACCTCATGGTTTATAAGATTTTCAGTTTTGTTTTTTGTTTTTTTTTTTTTTGTTTTTTTTTTTTTGTTGTTGTTGTTTTTTCCTAAAAACAGGGTTTTTCTGTAGCCCTGGTTGTCCTGGAACTCACACTCTGTAAACCAGACTGGCCTCGAACTCAGAGAGATCTGCCTGTCTCTGCCTCCCAAGTGTAGGCGTTGAAGGTGTGTGCCACAACTGCCAGTCTTGTGACTCATTATTTTTGCCAGAAAGGTGTGTACCTTTCTTGGCTGCCAGGTAATGAGCTCTACCCTGGAACATTACTTTGTGCAAAGATTTCTGACTTGTAGGGGAAAGGCACAGATCAGTTGTTACTTATTAGAGGGAAGGTTAAGAAAGTTTTGGCCAAATTATATCAGAAATAGAATATTTCTTTTAGTTTTGGGGGCTGAATTTAGGCCTTGTGTATGATAGGCAAATATTCCGCTACCTCCATACATCCCCAGCCTTATAGAGTGGGTTCCACTAAGCACTTCTTTTAAGAAGTGGGTTTCCAGCCAGGTGCAGTGGCACATGCCTGTAATCCCAGCACTTGGGAGGGAAAGGCAGGTAGATATCTGTGAGTTGGAGGCCAGCCTGGTGTACAAATTGATGACTCCTATTTTATTAGCCTGATGACCTAGAAAGATTTTCTTGAATTTCTGCACCTGCCCTTTTCCCTAGTCACTGGCAACTAGGGGAACCCTGAAAACTTTACATAGTTAAAGCCTTGTTACCATGCATCAAGAAGGAGATACCACCAGTTTACCACCCTCTTAACCACACATAAAGGAGAAGATGGTGTCAGTTCCCAAACCTCACCAGGTGTCACTGCAGCCCTGGGGAAAGTCTGTATGGAAAGTCTGGAGTTTGTGTGTCTTGTGTGGTATTAAGCAGATAAGTGTTCCCTTTCATTTTTCTTAAGAAGATTGAGGGTTTGAGTTTGATTAACAGAGTTTGTGACCCACATAGGGTAAAAGTAAAGGTTTTTTTGTTGTTTTGTTTTGTTTTGTTTTTTAGCATGTTTTTGTAATCCTGTGTCGTCAGTACACAGGGACATAGCAAGCATGCGCTAACATGGGTATTATACAGGAGAGGCTGTAGATTACCGAAGGTCTCTTGCCTCAGAACCTTAATGTTCTGTCAACTTCATTTTTTTAAATTAAACTTATGGTAAAACGTAAGATTTTTTTAGAATGTCACCTCTTTGTTCTGGCATATTGGTGCTTTACTTCTCCTATCTCAGAACAGAAGGCCTCCTTTTTCTTCTACTTCCTATCTTTCTTTAAGAGGAGACCCTGAGTGTTGGGTGAGTAACTTCCATGCACAGTCTTTGTTCTCTGGCTGGCACAGCTGAGATTTTTGTAAAAATAACTAGGTTTAGATCTCGTCTTTTTTTTTTTTTCTCGTTATTTATTTTTGTCTGTTAAAAATGAATGTACCCCACCCCACCCTGACCACCAACATTTGCCCTTGACTAGGCTTTTTGTCTTTTTTTTCTTTCTTTTATTTCTGGGCTTAGGATTGAACCCAGGGCATTCTAGCCAGGCAAGCATTCTACAATAGAGCCATGGTCCCAGCCCAGTCTTCTCTGCCTTGCTTCCCAGAGAATACATGATTCCTCTCTATCTCCCACCCTTGCGCTGAACAGAGAATATTGAGCATTCTCTGTCTCAGTTTCCCTGGCATTCAGATGCTGCTCAGTTATGAATGATGATTTCCCCTTAGACGCCTAGAGAGATGATCCTGGTGGCTGGAAATGCTTTCTGGTTCTCATGGGCACTTTTCTGGCTTTCTTACAGTATAGCATAAGCACTGTCCACCTGCGAAGGGCACCCCGCAAGGATCCAGACGCACTCCTGGGCATGTGGCGGGCACTGAACCGAGCGGAAGGCGGCCACGCTCGGAAAAAGGCCAGTGGTAGAGTTTTCTTTTCCCTTTAAGTTATGGTTTTGTGGTGCTTACCCACCCCCATGAGAGATAGGGGGCTTCTCCAGAGTGCTGCTTAAAACTCTTCCCTACAGATAGTCTCTGTTCACAGTTCTCCCTAAAGTTGGCTCTCAAGGCACCGTCAAATCTTAGGTCTCACTCGTAGACTCATAAGAATAGTAGTATGCATTTCTTAACTTATCCTTTATCCTCCCTGCCCTCTTTTACATTTTTCCTTCAAAGCCAAAGTTTACACGGGTATTTGTTGCCAAATAGGGTAAGAGAAAGGAGAGCAAAGATCACCAGAAAGGGGGAACAAACACCCAGAAGACTAGAAAATTCATCTAATGCGGGAAATGAGACTAGAAAGTGAGAGAGAAGCAAAGGATTTCTTAGAAAGGCCAGAGGATGTCAGTTTGGAGTGGAGTTGCCCAGTAAAGTCAGGTGAAAAAAATCTAAATTAACCAAAAGAAGGCTGTTCGTGTTTCACCTGGAAAAGGGAACTCCGGGAGTTATGTTTCCTGACAAAGTGGCTCTAGAAAGCCAACTTCCTATATCCCTCATAGGAGTGTTCTTTTTAGTTCAGTGTCTTAGATTGAATCTTAGTTTAATCTGAATTAGTCTCTTCCAAGCAAAACGAAAGTCCAGTGTATGTGTCTCATGTATTTTCTCTGCTTTCATTAAATTGTTGCTTGTTTTTAACAGATATACTTAGTTGTATTTTTTTTTTTCCAAAAGTTATCGTATAGATTCAATCAGTAAAAGTCTTCAAATGAGATTTCGTGCTACATTCGATGGGGTTGTCTGCCCTCTTGACAGAATGGTGATGTAAAGAAGCCCTCGTGTTGATCGTAGTCAAGCCCAGGCTGTGAGCCTCAGCAGCTGTTTGTTTTGCTTATATTCTTAAGAATGAAGTTTTGCGTTGTGGAGACACTTCAAAAAAAAAAAAAAATTGTTGTTTGGTTTTCTTGCTTTGCATTAGCTTTCTAGCAGACTTCATTTCAATACCATACCACCACTGTCATTGGATACAAGTCCTCATCCACTTTCAGCTAAATTCATTTTTAGTATGATACTTTTCTCAGGGCTGTGCAATTTAGGAAGAAATTTCCTTTCTTACATCCTACTATGGCCTAATGCAAGTTAGCTTTTTGCCTTTAAAATTGGAAGGTTAACAGTTTTGAAACTCTGGGAACTTAAGAGAAGAGAATATATTATGTTCATTTGACTTTAAATCTTGTTTTAATAAACCAAGCTAATCTTCAGGTTCTCTCTCCTAGTGGACTTAAACAGACGTTGTATTTTCAACCCTCTCTTAGATAAAGGAAATAAACTTTTATAGAAAATTCATCTTAAAATACTCACAGGTGGAGACTCCTAGCTGACTTGCACCCAAGTCCTCCGTGTAGATCTTAATCTTAGACTAATCTGTTCTCTCCGTCCTCTACAGTGTGGTGCTGAGTGGAGCGTGAGGTGTCTTGGTAGGTAACCAGATACAGTTACAGTAGGACTGTGGCAGACAGAAGCTGCCAGCTTTGTGAGCAGCACTAGAGTGCTACTTCCTCCTGACACAGACACCAAAACACCTTTTGTGGAAGTTTTTCTCTGAAAAGTGGACTTGAAATTCTCCAGTTGCAGACAGAACCTCAGATGTAGTGGTCGGTGTGGCGGTTTTCCTGCTTACTCTTTTCAGTTCTCCTTAGTGCCTGTGTGAACTGATGAGAAATAATGTGGTTCCTTTGCCCTTCTCTAAGCCTCGTTATCGCACTAGAACTATGAACAGTCAGTGTTCTCATTTGAAAGATTAAATTCAAATTTATTTAAGCTTTATGGTTTCAATTCAGATTTCAAAGCTTCCTCAAAAAGTCTTATTCCTCGTATCTTTTTCATGCTGTGTATGATTGAATATTTTACTTATTTTTACCTCTATTTGTCCCTATAGGAATGATCCAAAAATGAAGCTCTTGCCAAGAACGTTTAAAATCCACATAAATGTTATTTAAATAGTGCCTTAAAAGAAAGTTCTGTGTGTTCCAAGTAGTTTATGAATATGTTTGTAGGTCATTCTGAAGGAAGTTGCATGAGGCATATTAGAATTGATTCACTGTCTAGGTAGACCAAGATCATTTAGACTCAAGGTGTGAGGTTAGTGTCTTTTTTCACACTAAGTATCTGAATTGCAAGTGCGGGTGCCTTTACTAGTAGTATTCCTTCTTCTTTTTCATTCCATTTGTTTATTCATTCCTTCACGTATTCATTTATTGAGATGGGGCTTGTGCCATGGTAGGTATGTGGAAATTAGAAGACAGCTTGTTGGGGTGGTTCTCTCCTTCCATCGTGTAGGTGCCAGGGATCAAGTTCAGGTCTCAGGCTTAATGGCTAGTGCCTTAGCCTGCTGAACCATCTCATTGGGCTACCTGTTATTTTAAAATTGGATTTTACCTTGTTCTGGAGAGATGGTTCAGTGGTTAACAGCACTAGCTATATTTCCAGAGGACCAGGGTTCAATTCTCAGCTCCCACATGGCAGCTCACAGCCATCTGTAACTTGAGGCCAAGGGATCCACCTTCTTCTGGCCTCCCTTGGGCACTACACAATGTGATGCACGGATATAAATGCAGGTAAAACACCGTATTTGTTTTAAAAATGGGAGAAATTAAGTAGATTCAACAATGGAATTCATGTACCTAAACACTGGTATTTAAAAGGTGTTAATACATCGTGTTAGTGGCACACACTACAGCTCTCCGAGCTGTACACTCCTAGCAGGAGGCAGAGGCAGGTGGATCTCAGCCTGGGCTACATAGTGAGAAATGGTAAGACCTTATCTCAAAAATCCAGGGCAAACCAAAAAAGGCTCTTCTTAAATTATAAATGACTCATCTGCTTTTTAGAGTCCATTCTAAAAGTTGACTCATATATCAGTGGGTTTTAGACACCTGTTTCTTCTCTTGCAATAAATGGCTTTTTATATTTACCGAGAATCTGAATTAGCCAAAATAATCTTAGGAATCAGAGTAAATTTTAGTATCCATTGAGATGATTCTGAAGGTTTTAAATGTTTGTGATTAAATGTTTAAAAAGTAAAATCTATTTTATCGTGCTTTTACAGTTTCATTCTTCCCTGAGTGACATGATGGATGCCACAGAAAATTATTTAAAGCTGCAGTTTAGAGAGGGGCTGGGGTGTATTTCAGCAGTAGAATCCATGCCCAGCAAGAAGAGCCAGCTTTGATCCCTCCTGTTGCAAGAAGTCCATTAATTTAGAATGCCACTTAAAGGCATTGAGCTGGCAGTGGTGGTGCATACCTTTAATCCCAGCACTCAGGAGACAGAGGCAGGGGGATCTCTGAGTACACAGAGAAATCCTGTCTGTAAGAAAGAGAGGGAGAGGGGGAGGGAGGGAGAGGGATATGAAGGCATTGAAAAGAGTGAGCTTTAAGGATTTAGTAAAATTGCAGGATAGAATATAAACAACAGCTTACTTATACAAACGACCTAACTTGTTTCTCAAACTTTTAAAACCATTTATAATTTTAATCAAAAAAGATTACTTTGGAGTAAAACAAACAAGAACTGTAAGAATTTGTTATAGGATATTTCTTTTTTTGGTTTGGTTTGGTTTGGTTTTTTGAGACAGGGTTTCTCTGTGTAGCCTAGACTCGCTTTGTAGACCAGTCTGGCCTCAAACTCACAGTGATCCACCTGCCTCTGCCTCCCTGAGCGCTGGGATTACAGGTGTGCACCTACTGCACCTAGCTGAGGATACTTCTTTTTGATGTGGAAGAGTCATCATTCCTCTAGTTGATACTATAGGTTTTTCAATAGATTTTTTTTTTTTTATTGTATTACTTTCTGTGTCTGGCTGTTTTGCCTGCATGTTTGTCTGTGTACCATGTGCATGCAGTGCCCTCAGAAGCCAGAAAAGGGCATTGGATCCCCTAGGACTAGAGTTAAGGCAGGTTGTGAGCTGCCATATGTGTGCTGGAAATCAAACATGGGTCCTCTTCAAGAGCAGCAAGTCCTTTAACTGCTGAGCCATCTCTCCAGCCCTGCATTAAATATGAACAAACTGGAAAGATATTCTGTTTTTAGCTCAGACAATAGGATATTAGAGATGAGCTGGACAAGTTGATTCTAAGGGTTGTGTAGAAAATCAGGGATTGAAAGGTAACTATAACAACATTGAAAAGAAAAACTACCAGGAGGACAAGCTCTACAGACATTTTAACATTATATAAAATTCCATAACACTGTGGCATAGGCACATAAATAGAGAATTGTAGAATAGAAAGTCTAAAAACTTACACAAGTACCTATGGAAATTGAGTCAAACTAGAGAATCCCTGCCCTGAAAATCTGCTGAAACAATTTTTGTATACCAGTGTGAATCTGCAAGTAGAAGGTTTTGTATCTGACATTATGTGATAGGTCAGAGTCAAAATGCAGAAACACTGCTGGCTCAGTGGTGCATACTCATAATCATGTCTGGTAAGAAGACTGAGGCAAGAAATCTTGAGTTCAAGGTTATCATGAACTACACAGTGACATACTGTCCAAAATAAAAAGATACCAGCGCCATAGGCTTGGTAGCTAATCTTTGTGATTCCAGCTGTTAAGAGGCGAAGACAGAAGAATCATTGCCAATTCCAGGCCAGCCTGGGCTACAGTAAGACCCTGTCTTACTAAAGGCAGTATGTGAAAGGGGGAGGAAATAAAGATGGAACCTTTTTCGTTTTTTGAGATAGTTTCTTTGTGTAGGCTGTCCTGGAACTCTCTCTGAGTTCCAGGCTGGCCTTAAACTCAGATATCTACCAGCCTCTGCCTCCATGCTGGGATTAAGGCGTGTCCCACCACACCTGGTTATATGGAACTTTGGGAATTTTTGTGGTTTTTTTTTGTGTGTGTTGTTGTTTATAATTTATTTTTATTTTATGTTCATTGGCATTTTGTGTGTGTGTGTGTGTGTGTGTGTGTGTGTGTGTGTGTGTGTGTGT